ACAATGGGACAGATATGGTAGTGAGAGGGGCCAATGTGGTACTAACAGGGCCAGATATTGTACTGTAAGGGTCAGATGTGCTAGAAAGTGGGCCAGGTGTGGTATTAAGAGGGGCAGATGTAGTAGAAAGAGTGCCAGATGTTGAAGTGAGAGGGACAGATGTGGAACTTGCATAGCTAGATGTGGTTGAAAGTGTGACAAATGTAGTACTAAGAGAGCCAGATGTGGTACTTAGAGGGCCAGGTGTGCTGGAAGGTGGGCCAGATGTTGTAATGAGAGGGGCATATGTAGTTCCAATTGTGGTAGTAGAAAGGCCATTTGTGGTACTGAGAGGGCTAGATGTTGTGCTGTAAGGGACAGATGTGCTGGAAAGTAGGCCAGACGTGGTACTAAGAGGGCCAGATGTGGAAGTGCGAGGTTTAGATGTGGTTGTAAAAAGGCCAGTTGTGGAACTTGGGGACGTAGATGTAGCGGTGAGAGGCGCATATGTTGTTGTTGGAGCAGCAGGAGTAGTTGGAATGGATTTTGGGCAAAGGCATTGTTTTTTTAGTTTTGGGTAAAACTGAGTGACAGTTGTGTGGAGAGGACATTGTGTTCCAGGAAACACTTCAAATGCTGAGCTCACTGTGCTCAGTTCACTATGGAGCTCTGCCAAGGTCTTGGTCTGCAGATATGTTTCACCATCGATGTTTTGGCCCCAGTGGGCACTTGCTAGCCACCTTTTCTCACTGTGACTGTAGCAGCAGAACGCAGACCAGAGCATGGACGGGACATTAACCTTGTTTGAAATGATGTTGTTGCCTGGCTGAGCTCCAATGACCAAAAAGCCTTCTTTGATTTTGTTGCTGTTGATGCAATATTTGTCCAGAACACATTTGATGCAGCTCTCCATTTTGCTCCATCTTCCCTTGTTGAATGGACCATTCTGTGGAACAACGTTGGTGAGGGTGAAGGTAGACTTCTTATGATCTACTGTAGGGGCGTAAGAGCATGGAAATAAATGCCCTTTATCGAACCCTCGCTTGTAATAATTATTGTTCGAAGCCTGCTTTCTGTAGTTATTTTCCATTGAAAGCTCCATGTTGTCATTGTTACCAATGTTCTCAAGCTGTAACACACACACACACACACACACACACACACACACACACACACACACACACACACACACACACACACACACACACACACGACACACACACACACACACACACACACACACACACACACACACACACACACACACACACACACACACGATACATTTATTTTTCCAAGAAATACTGAACAATAGTATAGTTGTGATTAGATAGTACACAAAAAGCATACCTGGGGTTCTATTTGCCAAATGTCCTCCGGTCTTTTGCCATTTGTCCCGATGTACTTGGAAGCAGAAAACACTGGGATCTTGTTTTCCGTGTCATAGAGCGTCACAAAACGTCTAATGTCAAGGAAAGTCTGGCAAATGGGTTTGTATCTGTTCTGGTCCAGGATGTTTCCTCCCTCTAGGATTCCTGGGACATTCGGTGGAGTTCCGTTAAGGAGAAACTCTGCACATTGTGACATTGAATCCACCACTTTGGATCCTGTGGGAACGATGGATAGGAGGAGGAGGAGAGCAGCGAGGGGCGGGATGCTCCACTTCTTCAGTAATGCCATCGCCAAACACTAGGGTCAAAAGACAGAATGATGAAACATTACATGACTGTAGAAATGGACTGCTGAAATTAAACTCCTTAAAGAGGCCCTTTCATGCTTTTGGGGGGTTTCTCCTTCCTGTAGATTCAAGTTTCATGAGTTTATTGTCATGTGCACATTTGCCAAAGTGTAGATATGGCAATGAATATGCTCCTCAAACAGATAAAATAATGAGAATGTTTTGTGATGTACAAGTAAATAGAAATAAAATAGAAATAGTGCAAGAAGAGTCTATATAAAAGTACAAGGTATATCAATTAAGGTCAGCTCATTGTGGAATAGCCTCCCAACTGAGTTACGGGATTGTCCCACTTACTAAATTGTTGCCACCAACTCAAAGAATGGTTGAGAAAAAACAAACGTGCAATGACCGCTAAATGCACTTTAATACAGGGGTATCTCCTCTTGCACTTTATATGCCGTAGCTGCTATATTGTACTGCCATGTGGTAAATACTTGTGTATGCTGCTCTTGCTCTTCCTGCATATCATGTATTTATTGTTGCTATTTATATAAATGTCATGTTCTTAAATGTTGTATGCCAGGGATTACGGATGGAAATTAGCTAAAAGCTCAAATCCGGCATATTTACATTTTGAAGCAATAATTGTTAAAAATGTTCATCAATGTGCATTATCCCTCTTCAAATAAACGATTAAATCAAATGAATATGATATATTAGATAAATAATTTGTAAGATGCAAACAGATTAATGTTAATGGATGTTCTTATAAAGCTGGTTGTGCTTGTAAATGGTTTTACGGCCCGTCCACACGGCAGCGTGCGTTGCATCAACAGAGACGCTTCCCATTCACTTTGAAAGGGGTGACGTCAGGCTTTGCCGAACTGCATTGTGTTTCCGTGGCGTTGCTTTGCCTCCGTTGCTCGTTTCAAAAGTTGAGAAAAGTTCAACTTTTCAAGCTTTGACGGAAGCTTCAGCCAATCAAATCATATGCCAGTATAAGCTCTAGCCAATCAAACCGTGTGCTTGTGTCTCCGGGGCGGGAGATGAATTTGATTGGTTGTTGGTCGCGAGCCCACCGGCATGCTTCAACGCATGTGTGGGCGTACCGTCACAGTTCACAGTCTAATATTCCCAATGGTTACTGATGAAAGACGCAGTGGTTTCCACCTGTTGGGCCAATCTGTTTATTCAGGGGCACATCCTATAAGTAAGCTTTATTACTTGGGAAACAAACAATGTAGCTTTGGTCGGTAAAATAAAGCACTTTTGAGCATTAAAACATGTCCCAGTAGAAGCACAAAATAATAAAACATTAATAATAAATGAATCAGCTCTGAAAGGCGAGCTTTAAAGAAATACAGAAGTATGAGTTGAAGTGGTCAAGTGTAAGGGTCAGAGGAACAGTCAACTGGGACATTTCTATGAAAGAGAAATGAAAGTGAATGCTTAGAATTTAGATCCAGTATTGATTCTGAGAATTGTTTTCAAGACAATTCTCAGGGGGGATAATCTAAAGCAGGAAAACAATTATATCAAGTATTGGAAAATATCATCTGGTATTCAAAACTGAGCAACAACTTCTAATTGATTACCTTAAACTTAAATACAAATGTTCTAACAATATAAAACAAACCTTGCCTCATATTGGCATTTTCTATTTAAAAATAAATAAGTACATAAATAGAATAATAAAACAAAGCATAAAAAGGGATTTAAAAATAAAGGAAATTCTTACCCGATGCTGTATTCGTTAAGCGCGATTGGTCCTTCTGTTCACACAGCAGTAGAAACAAGACAGTTCCTCAAATGTGAACTGAGCGTAAGGAAGAAGTCTGTTTTATGTTTCTGCTGTACATGAAGGTGGGTGTTCTCTAAGGTTAAATCTGAATCTTTCCTTTTTGTAGTCAGGAAATGACGGTGGCCAACAGGGGCTAACGAGCTACAACGGCCCAAAACACCTCCTTTAGGAAAAACGTGATGTAGTTTAAAAAAAAGATGCAATTATAAAAACACAAATGTGCAAAAACATGAAGAAACATATTCAGCAACTTGAAGAAACGCTGCAATTATGAAACACTGCAAATAAGAAATGCTGCAAGAAGCTCAAAACACAACGGAAACCTGGGGACACTAAAAAGTGACCGGAGCGCTTGTTGACGTTCGTGGATAAGTAAAACTGTCACTGTTGTCACTGATAAACTGTTTTATTTGATTATTTGAACAGTCTGATCACATGATTCCTTCTGATATTTCTAACCTAGTAATTAAAAAAAATACTAACCAAACACTTACAGACTAACTCTTCCAATAGTCACAGAAAGCCAACTTTATGATGGAAGTGTTTTGTGCTGTTATAGCGCGTTTGCACCAGTCGGCCACCATATAATACGGAGCTTCGTATACACACATTTAAACTGACATTAAGGGCACTTTTTTAAAGATAATCAAAGACGTGCTACTTGACAAAAACACGGAGATTGAAGCATTTGGGGGGTTAGCATGATATGCATGATTGCTGGATATATCAAAAAACACACTCTAAGAAATGAAATATGGATGTTGTTTGCATTAATTGCTTTTTTTATATTGAAACTACTAAGTAAATGCACTTTTTACAATTAAATCAAGAGACTTTAATTGCATTTATGTAAAAGTTCAACGTTTTGGGATTACATTACCATTTTGTGTTGTATTTAAATGGTAAAGTTATTTAAAACGCACTGATTGTCCCAAAGTGCTTGCCGTACTTTCTCAACATATGCGCTGTAAGACCGGGGACATGCGTCATTTGGATCCTGTGACTTTGAGATGTGGATGACAGAACCTCGTATTTGTCCCTTTCCTGTGCCATCCTGCGATTTTATGGTAAGTTAATTAAATATTAACATATATTAAACACAAACGGTCCCTGAAACACAAAAGTTGATGTGTATTTTTGATTTCCCTGCTACCAACTGTATACTTTGATGATAGATTTGAAAAGCGGTGCAGCCTAGCTAACAGCTAGCTTAACGGTATCTTTTTAATGATGTTCCCTTGCACTTAAAAGTGTTAGAATATGTCACAAAAGAGGTGAAATTTCAAGCTTTGTCTGTAGAAGTCTCAATCGTTATGTATTTAATGATTTTAGCTTGATGTGGTTATAATTAGTAATGTCAGCTTAACTTTTACCTCTGACCAAGTGGAAACGTTTTTTCCCTCCTTTTAAAAAAAAGTGTTTTAAAATGTGCTTGATTTAAGAATTTGAGAGCCTGGTTGCAAATGCCAAAAAGTTCATAGTCGGTTAAGGTCTTGTAAGTCTGTTAAAAATAACTTCATCAAGTGTAACACCCTGAGGGAGGTTTTTTGTTAAATTGTAAAGCTTATCTGGAAGAAAGGTTTTTCCCATCTGCTGTTGTTGCGTCAACCGGAGCCGTGCTTGGTCGTTACGTTAATTATGTCGGTGAGGAATATCAAAGTGTGAATTATTTAAAGCATGTAAATGAACGCACTCAACAAGCACATCTTCACTTAAGACAGCTCTTAAATAGACACGGAATTCACCCGACATAATCAGAGAGAGAGAGAGCAAGATTAAATCGTGGTAGTGGCAGGTACTTCCGCCGCAGATGCCACTATTTGCTGAGACTACTGCGGCTGCTGAAGGGGTGTTACTCTGGGTGCCGAGCCAAGCGAATGTTTGTGGCAGTTGCAACAT